CGGTCCCTGATGCTTTGCGAAGCTTGTTCTAAGTAGGTGCTTTAGACCACTGAGCCATCTCTCCAGCCCAGTTAGGCTGTTTAATAGACTTGTTTCTCCCAACTTGGCTTCTAGCCTGTTTTTTAAGCAACCAAGCCTTTTCCTTGGTCAAAATTAAATATTATATTATTAACCTATATTAAATACAGTTAAGCTCAAAGTTTAACATTTTGTATTTACAATTCCTAAAATAGTAGAATATGACTTGGATGGACCTTAAATAAATCATCTAGTCAACTCAAGTTTTCTGCATAAGATAGGATACTATGCTGTCATGTCTAAATTTACAGTGGTACCTTTGTTCACCAAACTGCAATTCATGCAATAAATTCTGTGGCCAGAATCATGGAAAGAATTAAGTTCATGAACCAAAATACTGTTGTATCTTTGTTAAATTTCATGATATAGAACAGATTCTGGTTAGTCAATGTGTGAAATGAGTCTTATTTGTCCTACATTTAGTTTTCTTTAATGTTGATGTCTTTGTGTATATTCTGGACATCTCTGATGTTCTCATTAATTCTAATTTCTTTTGGTTTTGCTTTCTTTACAAGTAGTCCTCTTCCCTCAAACCATGTTTGCCCACAGTTTTTTAATTTTTTAAAATGGTGTTTTTCCAGATTATCTCCAGTCATAATGTACTTTTCTTGAGACCTAGCGACCAGAACAGAACATGCTGTTTGTACACAGATGAATCTTTAATGATTTTGGTTTTATTTCCAGACTGTTTTTGGGGCTTACTTAAAAGTTTGTTGCTTTCGTTCTGGAAGCATGTTAAGACATTAATTTTAGAAATGTGTGCAGAGGCCTTTTAGGAATCTTTCCTGCCTTGCATCTGATAGCTGTCTAACATACTTAGGATTATGTAGGCAGATTTCCTTGTACTTGCCTGTATAAAAATAGACCTTTTACCTTTTTTTCCACTTATATAGCCTTCATCCCGTTTTGTAGTTCTTGCTGGAGCTTAGCCTTTAAGCCCCCTGTAACTGCATAGCATCAAAAGTACAATGTTGGTAAGATAAAACTATTTTGTAACATTGTTTTATTAGCAGTTACTCCTTTTAGACATGCACTCCTTGCCTTTTTATTTTTTGTTGAAATACTGCATTGGTAATAGATTTCTGGGGCGAGGAGGTTCTGCTCTTGATATTTTAAAGTGGTCAAATTTAATTATAACTCTCATTTTGACATACATTTTATAAATCTCTCTTCTCTGACATCATTTTCTGCCTTACTGCTCAAATTCTTATTTTGGAAATTCAGGTTTTCCAAAATGTCCAGCATTCTATATAATCCACTCTGATGTGTTAATGAGAAGATGCTTTTACTTTGTGTATTCTTTTGATGTAATGGTAGATGACATTTTCCCAAGTACCAGGTCTATTCTTTTTTTTTTTGCTGTACCAGGGATCGAAGCTGAGACCTTGTGCTTGCCAGGCAGGTGCTTATGCTGCTGAACTATCTCCCCAGCCCATCAGGTGTATTCTGTACATGTTACATTCACTCTGTCTCCGCAATACTTCTCTGAAGTATGTACTTTTTCCCCCTTTTATATTAAGAAAATTGAATCAGAGATAATGTTATATGGGCAAAATTAACAGCTAATAAGCAATAGAATCAAGTTCCAAAAATCACTTTTAATGCTTTTATGTATTTAAAATGGCAGATGTTTGATATTATCAGAATGTGGAATACAAATGTCCTTACATTTTTTTATCTACAGTGTATTCATCAAGGTGGGTACAAAAAATGATAGGAGAGGGGCTGGTGAGATGGCTCAGTGGTCCAAAGCACCTACTTAGAACAAGCTTGGCAAAGCACAGGGACCGCAGTTCAATCCCCCAGCACCACATGCCAGCCCGCCCCACCCCCTGGTGGGCTGAGCCACACACACACACACACACACACACACACACACAAATTAAAAAAAAAATGATAGGAGGTCTGTGGTGAGAGGAGTTACTTTTGCAATCAGATACTTTTTTATGAATAGTTCAAAGTGTGCAAAATTTGCTTCAGGAAAATAAAACTACCATTTATTCATTCATGCATTAAATACTCATTGCCTAACAAGTGGCAAGCATTAACTAGCTCAATGAATATCCGTGAATAAAAAGGATAATTTTTTTTTTTTTTTTTTTTTTCCTTCGGTACCAGGGATTGAACTCAGGACCCTGCACTTGCCAGGCAAGCGCTTATTCTACTGAGCTATCTCCCCGGCCCTCCATAAATGTTTTGTACATCCTACATTTTTGGAAAGGAGGGATAACAATGACAATAGACATAACTTATTTATTATGTTAGAAAATAAGTACCTTGGGATAAAGTAGAGCACTATAAGGTGAAAGTACAAATGCCTTGAGGTAGGAGTGTTTCATATGTGTACAAGGAATATCATAGAGGCCCTTGTGCTGGAGCAGGAGTAAGGGAGAGAGCAAGTAAGAAGGTTATCGGAGTGGTTCTTTTTAACACTTTTGCCTTTCACTCCAAGCAAGATGAGCAATGTTTTGCTTTTCTGTTGTGCCACAATATACTTGGTCCTTCACAGGCATTATTTCATCAAGTCCTTAACCAGAACCCATTTATCATCCAGTTTTAGAGAAAAGCTACCGAAGTTTAGAGCTTAAGTAATTTGCTCAAAGTGGTACACTTGGAAAAACAAAGGTTTAATAAATTCATGTTTATTCTTGACTGTTATGCTGCTTGACCTCAGTTTGTGAGAAACCTTTTGGATAGTAGCCTGAGTAATGGAATCAGTGATGTCTGTGTTTTTTTATTACATCATTAGGTATTTAAATATAACAGATGCATTTCAATGTAAAGGAATTTTTTTTGTATTTAAGGATTTTGACTCTGGATTTTAACCCACAGGTGGCATAGATATGGATGCATTTCAGGAGCATGAGGAAGGCCACACAGGGCCTGACGATAATGAGGAGGTCATGCGAGCACTCCTCATTCATGAGAAGAAGACCCCCTCTGCTGCGGCTGGCTCTGTAGGGGCAGCTGCTCCTGTGACTGCCACGAATCCCAGTGACTCGGAAAGTGAGACCAGTGAGTCAGACGAGGAGTCTCCACCCCGGCCAGCAGCTGCTGTGGCCGTGCATCCTCGGGAAGAGGATGAGGAAGATGACGATGAGTTTGAGGAGGTGGCAGATGACCCCACTGTCATGGTGGCGGGCCGCCCATTCACCTACAGTGAGGTGAGCCAGCGGCCAGAGCTGGTGGCCCAGATGACACCAGAAGAGAAGGAAGCGTACATAGCAATGGGACAACGCATGTTTGAGGACCTCTTTGAATGAGCTTTCTCTGCCTGTTCCTCCTTTCTGTCATGCTCATTTCAAAAAGAAATTCCCTACCTTTGAAGAAATCTGTTTAAGTGACTTTCATGCCCTCTTGATAGAAAGCACCTGTTAATCTTTTGCAAAGAATAATGGGAGAGAAAGTTTGATTTTAATGCCAGAACTTCCCAGAAAGGTAGGTTGGCTGTAGGCATTCCCTTCTCTGTTATTACTACAGTATTAATGTTACTGTATTTCTTTATCTGATTTTTTCTTTTGTTTTTAAGATGCCCTTTTCTCCCTTCTGAGATAAATAAGGGAAGTAAATTATTTTTGCATACCTATACACACCTACTACGATTTGTAGCAATTTTTATTTTTACCAAGCATTCAAACAGTTCCTTATATTGTCTGCAATCAAAGCAGCTTGCTGATAGGCAAGTCAGTGGTTAGGGGAAAAGAATCCTAAAACTCCATGTTTCCCCTGATTAAGATTGGGGTCAACATGTAAGAGGAGGTGAGAACATGTGCAGAAGAGCAGCAGATGTGCCTGAACCTTGTGATTAGTGTGGAAACCAAATTTGTGTCTGCAGAATTGACCAGACTGGTAGATTTCTATGGTTTTGCTTAATGCTTTTTTGGTTTGGATTTTGGATGATACAAAGCAAAGTATGCCTACTATACCTTTATAAAAAATTAAAAGAAAAAAATAGTCAAATGACAAAGAATCCATGTAAAGGGTTGGAAAGAGTGCCTTAGAACTGCCAATGTCTGTTGTGATTTGGAAGTCCTTGAGGTAAACCCGAGACTGCCCCACCCCCACTATAGACTTCTTGTCAGTGCTATAAATTAAGGAGGCCATCCCAGCAGAAGTCAGCACAGACTAATTGATTACCTTCCTCTTTCTCTTTCAACATCTTTTGAAAGCCCTTTTTTGGGTCTCTCTCTTGATCCCTGTCAGACATGGTAGTTTAGAGTGCATCCTGTATATTGTGAAGCATTGTAACCTCAAGGAACATAGTTTGTTTGGGTTCTGATATGTAGTGTGATTTTTATGAATGCAGAACTTTAAAAATAAAGGACAATTGTATTTCTTATATTTTTCTTGCATTGTAATTTTTAAGTATTTATCATTTTGCAGTACATGTGTGAAATTAAGATGGTATCTTAGCGTATCTGAGCCTTGTATGAAGTGATGTTTCATTTTCTTGGGTCTATTAATGACTAAATATTGACCATAACTATTTTATACTAAATGAAATTTGTTAATGTCTAGCTGTGTAACATCATGGAGCATAATTAAAATGTATATTCTTATTAAAAACATGTTAAAGACTTATTAGTCAAATTTTATATAATAGGTGCAGTTATATATGATCTAAATTTTTTCTGACAAGTTGTTTTAAGAATGATCTTTATGTGTCTTATGTACATGGATCTATTCAACTTTTAAACTTTTTTTTTTTTTAATTTCATAACTTTAGAAGTTGATTTAGGGCCAGCCCGATAGCCTTTTATTTGATTAGGATATTGTTTCTGTCAGAGTAGTTTACTTGTGTTACCTTTAACAGCTGGACTACTATCATATTTAATATCTAAAATTCTTTGGGGAAAGTGAGGAAGATTTTTATTTTTTTTTTAATTTTTTAATTTTTTTTTCTTTTCAAAGTTTTATTGATAAACATATAGCAATGAGACAGTTTCAAATCAAATCGGAAGTACAGTTTCAACAAATAATACACTGCATATATTCTTCTTAGTGGTTAATTGCTGTACAAGATGCAGACTTGTGATCCTACTTACAAACACCATTAGAAAAAATCATTCTATTCATTAAGAGAATGCAACTATATATCTATCCCAACCACTTTGAATACACAGATACAAAATGGACATTCATAGTTATACCCCAATTTTTTTTAAGTTCCGTTATTGAATATTATAGGTGTGTAAACTCAGCAAAATATTCTAAAAGAGGAGGAAGATTTTTAGAAAAAAACAGATACTTCGATAAATTTACTGTTTATTCTGCTGCTCCTTCTGCTATAAAAGAAAGAAAATAAACTCTGAACAAGATAAGTACAGATACTTTAAAAACTTGTAAAGCTAAAATGAGTTGGGAATGGGGAGAGAATCATGCAATCTCCCCTTGGAGACCTACAGGAATGAACTAATTCTGGCATGCCCTCAAGGGCAAGAACAAGTACCCTAGCTTCTCTTCAGAAGGAGCTTTGTGTCCTGAGTACCAGAAGCAGTCTTTCCTATTCCAGCTGCAAAGCAGGTAGGCATAGTGCATGACCCAGTTTCAACAATCAACCAATGATTCCCATCATACAAAAGTACATAATTGCTACCTCATGTAAATAAGTCTGGGGAATTAGTCTGGACAGAAGCCTAGCACAAGGTCCTGAAATGCCTTGAATCATGTTAAGTCATATGAGGTGGTTATATAGTTTTGTTGTTGTTATATAAATGTTAATTATTTTTAAATACACCCAGTAAAATAAATAGTACAAACAGAACTCACCATGTGACTCCTCTGAGGAAATAATTGCTGATAGCTTAATGCATTATCAACTCGAGCATTTCTGGGCCTTTAGATAACCTTCAGACTCTATATGCCACATTGTTTTTTACGTAAGTGGGCTTATATATGCATTCCCATTTGCTTTTTTAAAGGGACTAAGTAGAATCTTAAGTTCTATGGTGATTTATGTAAAATGTTCCGTTTTGATGGGTAGTTATTGTCTTTTTTTTTTTTTTCCTCACTATGACAATGCTGTGTGTTTGTTCTCCTATTTCTAAAACTCAGTTACAAAACAGAAATAGTCAAAGGTTGTATTAGTCTGTTTTGTGTTGTCACAACAAAATGCCCAAGACTGGGTACATCATAATAGGCTGCAAACTAATTAGGTTTATTTAGTTCACAATTTTCAAGGCTCAAAGTTCAATATGTGGTCCCATCAGGAGATCCACTGAGCTTTGCCCAACGTGCTGAACAAAAAGAAAGGAAAATGGCTGTTTGCACAGGAGGCCAAGTTCATTTGGTGGGTTCTCATTACAATGACCTACTCTGCAAATACTCACTTTGAGAACCCAGTGTTGATCCCTCTGAAGGCAACACCCCTGGTAACCTGTCTTCCACCATTCCAACATCATCATGCTGCAGACACATCTAGTGTCCAGCTAACAAACTGCAGAGGATACAGGTAGCCAGGCCCACACCATATAGGAACTGTTGGAAAGGGTAAAAATTTTGAAAAATCAGTGAAAGATTTTAGGCAAGGGATTAAGCTAATGTGATTTCCTGTTATTTAATCCCTTTGTGTGGGGAAACGGTTAAAACTTGTGGTGGGAAAGGGTGAAAGTGAGGAGACAAGCTGGGCATTGCTGCAGTGAGCATTGCTGACTGAGAATAGGGTAGCTCTGGTAGACATTATGAGGTCAGATTTAAAATATATCTTCAATTTATCAGCAAGGCCTGTCAGCTCTATCTTCAAAATTAGGTTATATAAATTAGGTTTCATATAAATTATATTTTGAATCCAACAGGTCTTGCTAATAAATTTGATAAGGGAAAAAGGGGAAAGACTGGCCAAACGTCTTTCTAGTACAATGAACCATTGGGGGACACATGCAAATTTTGGCAGAGGCAGTGTCCATTTTAAACTTCAATAGACAGTGGCAAGTTGCTCTTCTAAATAATGTTTTGGTAGTTTTAAGCAGGGGGCCAATTTGTAGTATTGAAGCTGGATTAGAGTTTAAACCTAAAGATTATTAAACTCATTTTAATAGTATCCATGAGTAATTTGGTCTAAAGACCTGTCTACATTAGTGGAGATGGAAAGATGGGGACCGAATTGAGAAACTTTGAAGAGATAGAATCAGTGGGATTTGGGTCCTCACATGAATCTCAGATTTCTGGGTTGGAGGCTGTGTTTACCATGACTAGAAATACAGGAGAAGGAATGGGTTTTGCTCCTGTTGCAGATTCAGTTAAGTGACATCACTACTTCGCCTATAAGCTCAAGCCAAAGTTCCAACATTTGGCTAGTCTTTCCCCAACCCATATCGAATTTATTAGCTAGACCTGTTGGATTCAAAATATAATTTATATAAAACCTAATTTATATAACCTAATTTTGAAGATAGAGCTGACAGGCCTTGCTGATAAATTGAAGATATATTGTAAATCCGACCTCATAGCGTCTACAATGCCACCTTATTCTCAGCAGTGCTCGCTGTGGTGCTGCAGCTATGCCCATCTTGTCTCCTTACTTTCACCCTTTCCCACCACCACATATTTTAACCATTGCCCCACACAGAATTAAAAAACCAGGAAATCACATTAGCTTAACCCCTTGCCCAATATCTTTCACTGATTTTTCAAATCTTTTACCCTTTCCTATATGAAGTTGGCCTGGCTACCTGTATGCTCTGCCATTCATTAGCTGCTCAGACCATATTACAGTTCTCCATGTTTCTCAAATATGCTCTTTTTTCATGCCTTAGGTCTTTGTCTAGCTGTATTGTCTGCATGAAACACTCTTGTCCAGTGGCATTCATATTATTGTCAGCTTAAATGCCACCTCAGAGAAGCTGAGAGAGCTGTGCCTTCAAAGTGATTTCTTCCATTCACTGTCTTATTTACCTATTTATTGTAAAATTATTATTTAAAATCAATTCATTTGTATCTTACCTGTGTATGTCTATTACCCCAAACCCTAAAGGACTATCTGCCTCTTGAGGGCAGGATACTAGCAGACAGAATTACTCCTGGTTCATAGTAGCTGGTCAGTGAACATTGACATGGACAGATGAATTAGCACTAAAGAGTGTGACCTTTTCTCCAAGGCCAAGTAAGCAGATTTGAATTACAGATTCAAATTGTGTTCTTAATCAGTTAATTATGTTCACTTGTGATTCATGGTACCTAGGGCTATGTCTCCAGTACTATCAGTAGGGGGTGCTGGAATATAGTTTCTAGGGCACAGCTAGACATCTAGATGCTTCAGTGCTGGGAGCCATTAGATTAAATGTTTATGGAAAAGAGAATTTACTGAGTACTTGGGGCTTACACTGTTCAGGAAGGTATCCACTGGCCACATGTGGCTGTCAAGCACTTAAAATGTATCCAGTCTAAAATAAAATGTGCTATAAATACATAATACATGTGCTGTATTTCTAAAGATAGTATGAGAATAAAACTTTTATATTGGTCATGATTTGGAAAGATAATTATTTAGATACAGTGGGTTAAAGAAGAAATACTATTAAAATCAGTTCCATTTATTTCTTTCTACTTTTGATGTTATTAGAGCACTAATTACATGAATGGCTTACATTTGTAGCTTGCATTGCTTATTTCCTTTGGGCAGCACCCGTTGAGAGTATTTTCATGTGCTAGAGTTACACATAGTCTTATCTTAATGACTGTTGAATTTTTCCTCATTCACAGCTTATTGACCTGAATGTGTGCACTGTCCCTCCCCATCCCCTTATGCCACCCTTTTGGAAAGTTGGGGTCTGGTTTGTTTTTTTCCTTGTTTCGAGGAACCGCAGTATAATTTGCCTCACCTGTTGGGAATGGTTGAGGGTTGTTATGTTGGGACATTTTGTTCATTTGCTTTTTTCCTGAAGGAGAGCAGAATACAGAGAAACACTTTAACCACTGAAACCAGTAGTATTGACATTGAGAGTGCTGCTGTCATGCCAGAGTTGCAGGAACTAAGAGCCGGTCCTAAGTCAGGACAGCAGGAAGCCCAGTGATTTGTATGCATATGTAATGTATGTTAAGTAGCTCTTTTGTGTACAGTCTGTCTTCCTCATCCACCTACCACCCCACTGGAATATAAACCCATGAGAACAGAGGCATCATCTTTCTTCCTCACTGTAGTATTTGGGTTCATATCTGTGGCTCAAGGTTTGGCACATTAGTAAGGATCCATCAATATGTACTTGTAGAATAAATAAACAATTATGTGGAAGCTTACTTGGGCTGTAAGCAAACTATGACCCTCATGTAGAGGACCACTATTTTCAGTTTCTGACACTATTTATACCTAACATTTGTGATGCTGTTATGTATTATCTGCCT